CACACGCCGCTGTCTTCGTGACGTCAAAAGGGTGTCCCTTCCCTGCGGTCACCGTTACGGTGGCAGGCGAGCAGAGGGTGACATAGGGCCTTCCGCCGGCGTCTGCTCACCTGCTTGCTTTCTGCTCTTTTTTAAGCATTTGTCATAGGGCACAGGTGCTCACGGGAGAGCAGAGACGGTCAGAGGGAAGGTGAGAATCGCAGCCTCTCCATTCTCCTCCGGGGATTTTGGACACATATGCACACGTGCCCGGCGTGAGTTTCCCGCCAGGTCCAGCCATGTGGGAGTCCAATGCCTTGGCCGCCCGGCCGCGCCTGCCTGCTCTCCACCAGAGCGCCGGCTCTCCAGACACACCGCAGTGCTTTTCCCGCCAGCAGTACTTCCCTTCCTCCTCCCTCCCTCTCTTAATTTATGCATCTCTTCCCTGAATAAGAGACAGAGGCAGAGACAGCACCCCCCAAGGAGGTCTCAATTCATGGTCTACTGCCTGCCTCAACCAGCCCAGCTCAGACACACACGTGCCCAGCATAGCAGGGGGCTCCGGACACGAACCCAGACCCTCCCCGGGTCAGTGTGGCAGTGCACCGTCCTTACCACTGGGCCACTGCCCAGCCCATCACTCTTCTCCGTTGTTTCCACTGCCAGAGGGTGTGCGAGCTCCCCAGAGAGTGAACGCCCTCTGATAGGGCACGGTCTCCCCACTTCTCCACCATCAGGATTCTGGACACGTGTGCACACTGGGCATGTGTCTCAAGCCACCAGGGCCAGGACTGAAGCCACAGTGGGCCATGTCGAATCCGGTTCCTACGCCACGCACCGAGCCACGCACTATGGACCAGCCTGCCCACTGCTTTCCTCTAACTTGGTAATATTTCTTGGTTGGGAAAGATGCGGGCTGGCTCTGCGGCCTGGTGGTTGGGAGAGCTGGACCCACAGGCCAACCTCCCGGTCTGAGTCCTAGGCTCACTTGAGAACTGCACCAGGCACGTGTGCGGGGGCGCCCGAAACCCTGAGAAGGGAGGAAGAGAGGGACTACAGCATCACCGCTCCCCATGGGCGGCACTTTCTCCCCCCCCATCTGTCTCTGAAACTCACCATGTGCCCTCTGGCAAAAATATTTTTTAAATACGGTCAAATATACGTAAAACAGGAGTGACCGTTTTAACCAGTGCAAGAGCACAGGTCAGTGATATCAACTGCATTCATAGCGTCGTTTCCCCACTGACAGCTGCATCTCAGTGCCCTGGGGACGCCAGCCCCCACCCCCCC